TATAATATTATTATATAATTTCAAGTTGATTTTGTCTTTTATAATAATAACTATCGCTATTGAGATAGAGATCTCAAAAGAGTAGTAGTTCAAGATGTGGCTTATTTAATACAATAGGAATTTTATTGATAATATTATTAATTATAAATCCTGCTATTAAATAATAGTAATTTACATTTTTATTATAAATCTTAACAGGAAAATCTTAATGAAAAACTATTATAATAAAGCTTTAGCAAAACTACCAAAATAAAAAATTTTTTTTTTTTTTATTTATATTATTATTATAAATTTTTTATTTGTTACTGAAATATTTAATATTATTATTTTAAAGTATTTAAGTTTTGGTTTATTTAATTAGTTATATTTATATTTTTTATATACAATATATACTACTGTATATTTGTTATTTTAATATTTAAAGTTTTTTTTTTATTTTAAAATATTTTAATTATATATGTATAATACTTTTGTTTTTAGTTTTTAGTACAACTATATTATATAGCTATCTTATTTTATAGTATATAATTTAAAATTTAAAATTTTTTAATTTTGCTAACAAGTATACTTTAAACTACTAGGTTTGTTAATACTATATAGTCAAAATTACAAATATTTTATTTCAACTAATAAAAAAAAACAAATAAACTATAATGTAAATAGTTTTTTTAAAACAAGCACTAGTAGAATTTAAACCTCCAATCTGCCACTTGGAGTAACAACTTAACCACTTCACTAAGTTATTACACTTAAATCAAATTATATATTATAAAAAATGTACTGTATTATAAAATTATTAAAAATAGCAAACAAAAGTTTAAAAAATAGCATTAATAAAACACAACTATAGTAGTTTTACAGTTATTTAATATGTTTTCATTCAAAATTTTTTACGTTAGAGTTGGTATTTGGTTTTTTTTGAGTGTAAATTAAGATAATGTATATACTGTATAGATAAACGTCACAGGTGCGGTTTAATTAAAGGTTTTGATGCTTTTTAACATGAAGTTTAATATTTTTTTTCGATATAAATCTTATTTTTTTGACGATAATATATTATAAAATAAAATTTAAATTTTTTATTCTTTTTAATTCAGTAATTGATTGACTAAAATACAATCATTTAATTGATAAAAATTACCATCAATTAATTAACCGTCTACTGCACTTTATATATAATTCACCTCCACCTTAAATAACTTCTTTACAGTTTTGGAATCATTTTTTATTATTATTATTATTTTTAAATTTTCGTGTATATTTGAAACACAAAAGCTTAATAATAAAATTTTTTTCCAAATTGTATCAAATTTTTATAGAATATGTAAAATTAACATGGGAGAACAAGTTTACTTAATAAGAGAAGATCGATTTATATAATATAAAGAAAAAGTTTTATATATAGCAAAGTAAGATTCAGGATATTCTCATCATCCACCGTAGATTTATTCTTATTTATTTTTGTTTTTTTTGAATAAATATATTTAAACCAAAGCTAACTCCAAAGTCCATGTACGCCTGCACCACAGTCGAACAGGTATGGCTTTATCTTCACCGACTGTAACTTCCAAGCCATCCCACCAACATTTTCTCTGCATTATATTAAATGGAAAAGATTAGTAAAAAATTATAACACAAAATCTTCCAATCCAAATATTTAAGAAATATATATATATATACGTACCGCCGGTTTCCTCCAAAACAGTAACAATTTTTGAGCAGTAGCCATTTGGTTACTCTGACCCGTTGTCTTTAATATTACAAGAGCAATGCTTACAATACTTGTCTTATGAGGTTCAATATTACGATAACCCCATTCATCATCCCTTGAAAAACCGGAAACACATAACATATCTATCAAATGCTGTTCAGCTACGTTGTTTTCCTTATTAACATTACGTTGTAAAGCGGTAAATATCTTCCTCTGATGAAGAAGATAAGTGCCACATTCAGTTTTCAATTCATAAATGTTAATCGCAGGTTCAACTGTATCCATTTCGACAGCATCCTTGTCAATTTCTACTGGTGAAGAAGGAGACGGAGCCTTTTTTTTAGATTTTGGAGGTATAGTAAAATAGTCCAACTCTTCCCTCAAAACAATAATAGCCTGTTTATTTAGAAGAGGATTTGGAGTCGGAATATGAGGAAAAGCA